GGGTCTTTGAGGTCTTGCGGAGGGAGAAGTTGTACGCGAAGCAGTCGAAGTGCGAGTTCTTTCTCCCCGAGGTCGAGTTCCTAGGACACGTCGTATCCGCTAGTGGCGTTAGGACCGACCCGAAGAAGATCGCAGCGGTACAGGATTGGGTAGCACCGACCTCAGTCAAGGAGTTGCAGAGCTTTCTCGGATTCGCAAATTACTACCGCCGTTTCGTTCAGGGTTACGCTTCCATCGCTAGTCCACTCACCGACCTACTTCGGAAAGGCGTAGAGTACGTTTGGGGTCCAGCGCAGCAGCAGGCGTTCGAGCAGATGAAGCAGTCGCTCACGTCTTCACCGACACTGTCGTACCCTGATCCCACTCGCCCGTACGTTGTAGTGACCGACGCTTCAGATCAGGCCATAGGAGCAGTACTTCTTCAGGACCAGGGACGCGGGTTGCAGCCGATCGCGTACGAGTCGCGTAAGCTGAGGGGAGCGGAGTTGAACTATCCCATACACGACAAGGAGGCGCTCGCGATCATCCATGCGTATAAGGTATGGAGGTGCTACCTAGAGGGGGCAGAGAGTGTTATACGCACGGACCACTGCTCGCTTCGCTTTCTCAAGTCGCAACCGCAGCTGAGTCGTCGCCAGGCTAGATGGATGGAGTTCATGGAGGGGAGCTTTCATTACAGGATAGAGTACAAGCCAGGCGTGCGCAACCCAGCAGATCCGCTCACTCGCCCTAGTTGCCAGCTCGCTAGCCTCACAGTCACTGCAGGCCATCCACTTCTCACAGCACTCTTCGAGCACGGTTACACAGTAGATCCCGACTTCACACCGCAGCCGCCCGCAGGAGCAGAGGTGCAGGGTAGTGTTTACATACGGAAGGGCACCACACGGATTTGGGTTCCAGCCTACCGCCCTCTTCGACAGCTCCTTCTCTCAGAGGCGCACGATGTAGTTAGTGCAGGTCACTTCGGAGCAGACAAGACGGCTAAGACGCTTAGTCGCACGTACTACTGGCCAGGGCTTGCAGCAGACGTAGAGGATTACATTCGCTCGTGTGACACGTGTCAGCGTACGAAGTCCTCGCGACAGCGCAAGGCAGGACTTTTGCAGCCGATTCCACCGCCCGACCGCCCTTGGCAGGTAGTTACCATGGATTTCATCATGGCATTACCGCGCACAGTTAGGGGTCACGACGCCATCTTCGTTGTAGTCGACAAGTTTTCTCGAGCAGCGCACTTCATCCCCACGCACGGCCAGGTCACAGCAGAGGAAGCCGCGACGCTGTTTGTAGATAACGTAGTTCGACTGCACGGGGTTCCAGATTCGATCATTTCCGACCGCGACCCTCGATTCACCTCAAAGTTCTGGAAGCAGCTTTTCGCACTGTTTGGGACTCGCTTAGCCATGTCGTCTGCGTACCATCCAGAGACAGACGGACAGACTGAGCGTGTGAACCAGACCTTGGAGCAGATCCTTCGCAGCATCACGATGCACGACGCAGCAGCATGGGACAAGAAGCTGAGCATGGCAGAGTTCGCCTACAACAACACCCATCACTCCGCCACAGGCATGTCACCGTTCTTCGCACTGTACGGTCAGCACCCCAATGTCCCCACTCGTGTCGATCTCACACCCACTGTCCCACGTGCTGATAACTTCCACCAGCATCTCACCTTCATTCACGATCACGTGAGGAAGCACCTTGAGCTCGCAAATGCACGCATGGCACGCACTACCAACCGCAGTCGTCGTGAGGTGTCGTTTTCAGTTGGTGACCGTGTCCTTCTCGACAGCCGCAACCTCCGACTGCCACAGGATAGCAAGCTTCGCCCGCGTTTCATTGGTCCATTTGTCATTGAGCGCGCACTTGGTCCAGTCGCATACCGCCTCCGCCTTCCCGCTCATTTCCGCATGCACCCATCATTCCACGTGTCTCTCCTTCGTCCTTACACCGATCCCAACGCCACCTTCTCGGGCCGTGATCGCACTCCACTGCCGGTAGCTGTTGACACCGACGAGCCCGACTACCAGATCCAGCGCATCCTCAGGCACCGTCGCCGTCTCCAGGGGGGTGTCTCTTTCATCGACTTCTTGGTTCGTTGGCGTGGTTACGATGCAGCCGACGACAGCTGGGTTCCTTCGTCCTCGCTGTCTCCCGACAACGCTTGCCTCCGAGCGTACCTTCAGTCTGCAGGCGCCGCGGACGTCGCCTCCTTGGGAGGGGGGTAGTGTTAAAGGGGGATTTACTGTTCACTTTGAACAGTACTTTCCAAGTCACCCTTATCCTTATCTTCTCAGATTCTCTAGTGCCACGTGGCACTCTACTTTTCTTGCACTACAATTCTTGGTCCCACAATCCACTTTCCAACCTTGTTTCTTGCATGCTATATCAACCTTGCTTGTACTTGGCATTATCAACCAATTCTCATTCAACTCTTCTTCAATTACTCAGTAACTCCTTCGCCTATTTCGCTAGTAGTTCTTTCGCCAAAGTCTTCCGCCGCGCTTCATCCTCGACTTAGTCGACCCCGCTAATTCTTTAGCGGACTTAGGCCAGCGGGCCTAACAAGTTGTACAAAACAGAGTACGCAGAAGACTTTATAAAAAGAAAGTGATTACAGAATGACGAAACAACGAAGAAAGCGAGCTTTTATAGGGTGAATACGTGCTAGGCGAGAACTTTGTGACGTGCGAGGTTTGGATGTCTCGCGATTGGTGTGGGGCGACTCGGAGCTGGTTCGGTGCGAAAGTTTAGGTCGAGCCACACTGACGCGAAGTGCTCGGGCTGTCCTCGCTAGGAGCAGCCTCTACAGTACTTTTTTTTTTTTTTTTTTTTTGAATGTATACACCGACAGGACAAGCATATACAGACAAAGACGGTCGTAACCCGTGCGTGAGGAGTTGGAGGTGAGACCTCTGCCTCCAAATGAAACTGAAGTCCTATTGGGCCTTGCCCTCCACACCATCCATAGAGCAACAAAAGTGTTTGTCCATTTCAAACTGTTGCCATCCAACTTGATCTTCTTCAACATGTTCCACTCCTCCGAGGAATCACGCCGCCATTGTTTACGCCACGTCGGACCGAATTTATGGGTGTACAGCTTCACGTGATGTCGAAAAGCCAGCTCTATCATCCGCAAGACACGTTGCATGCGGAATTTCTGCTTACGGAATACAGCGTCGCACCGCTCGACCCACAATTGGTGCATTGCTATCGAAGTTAACGTCATCTCCGGGAAAGCTGAGCTGGTTCCTATGTCCCAGAACAGGAGGTCACCCAGCGAGTTCGTCGTGCGAGCGGGGTTAAGCATGCGCAGAGCGCGCCGGAGAGCAGTGGAAACCACTTGAATCCTTGGGCAGAGTACCAGGCAGTGTTCCAACGTCCCCGGGTCACCGCAATACGGGAAGACGGGCTTGCTGCTCAGCAACGCCAGGCGCTCCCCAACTTGCAGATTCAAGCCGTGGATCCGGAGAAGAACGTCTCGCGGACGGCTGGGAACAGCCAGAGAGTCCCGGGTGCACACAACCGCTTTCCAGTTGATGCTGCCCCCCCATCTTGCCGCACATTTCGCACGCTTGTACGATTACTTTTGGGCCCCTTTCCATCCTTCTTTCAGCCGCTTCATGGAGGCAACCTGCCCCCCTTCCAAAATCAGCCGCTGCGGAGGGGAGTCAGCCGAGCGAGGGAGCACAGTTGGAAACCCCAGCTGCTTGTACCAGAGCGCAGGCAGGTAACCCAGAGCCTTCAGCGCCAGCTTCACAGCACCACTACTCCCTACCTCCGCTGAAAGTTCTGCCATGGATTTCTGCACGAGATCCCCTGTCACATCCCTCGTGAACAGCTCCCCAAGCCTGAGATCAGACAGTTCCTTAGCAGCTTTCTGACCGCCTATCGGTGCGGTGCCTCGTAGCAGGACATTTTTGTTGAAAACCACTCTCTCCTGCAGAATTTCTTCCCTCGTGCAAGCTGCCGCCCTCTTACACAGCGGCGAGCGAGAGAGGAATTCGCAGGTCTGCTTCCAGCGCGTGCTACGCCCTTCCTAGTGTTTGAACAGCTTCTCATGGGCCTCGAATGAATCCGCCCCGAGAGGAAGCTCTGCCGCTAACTCCATCAGTTCCTTCTTCAACACATCCCTTTCTGTGAGGAATAGACCAACCCTCCTCGCCGCAAGGCAGGAGATGATGATCTCAAGGTCTATCACCCCAATTCCACCAAACTCCCTCGTTGTGTACAGTAACTCTTTGCTCCACAGTCTGAAGCCCTTCGCCACTGACGCTCTGTTTCCAGGTGTGAAGCTGTGCAGAAGCCGGATAAGGTCCTCCCAGACATCAGCCGACGGTGGGTATACTTGCGTTTGGAACGCAATGATCGGTACGATGTAGTAGTTCACAACTGTCGCACGCGCTGTGGTTGTCAAATATTTCTGCTGCCACTTAATCAGCTTCTCAGCGATCCTCTCCAATGCTTTATCCCATGTTTTCACTCCACTTCCGGAAGGCGACACCCATACCCCCAGCAGGCGCTCTACGTCGTCAGCACCTGCCCACTTGAACTTTGCCGACCCCTCCGCGAGCGCACCCAGATTGGAACCCAATGGCAACACGACTGATTTCCCTTTGTTGGTTGCAAGCCCGGACGCCTTCTCAAACTTATCCAAGATCTCCTCTGCGCAGAGAAAAAGGTAAGGCGCCAGTGGGCGCCTTTGCTTGACACCTGAGACAACTTCCAGTCCATCACCAAGCCAGCCATTAGCCAGGAGTTTTGTTGTTGCATTCGCATGCAGGCCCTCTATCCAGCCAATGAAGCGGTCCCGGAAGCCCATTTTCCGGAGCACCTCAAACAAGAAGTCTCGCGACACCGAATCAAAAGTATTTTTGAAGTCCACCAACAACAGGTACCAGTCCTTATTGCCGTTTTTGCCGCATCAATGACGTCAGCTACTAGCGCCACTGCGTCAGAAAGTCGTCTCCCGGGATAAAACCATACTGCTCCGGCGATATAACCTAGTGCAGTACGGATTTCATCCTGTCCGCCATGACCTTCGCCAAAACCTTGTAAGTGAAGTTCAAAAGGGTGATTGGTCTGTAGTTATCCAGCTGATCCCGATCTCCCTTTTTGTGTAGCAGGATTGTTACTGCTTCCTTGAGCTCCATCGGGAGGAAGGCAGCTTTCTCGAAGCTCTTTGCCATCACCATGAAACTCTCTCCCAACAGGTCCCAGTGAGCTTCGAAGAGCTCCTTCGGGAGCCCGTCCCCACCGGGTGATTTGTTCTTGGCCATCGCTGCAAAAGTTGCTTTAATTTCCTGCTCCGTCCATTCCACCGTTAACGCCTTCGCTGCTTCTTTTCCCAGGCACCGCGTAGGACTGAAGTTCCAGGATGTGAAGTCTGTGCGACGATCTCTGCCAAAGATTTTCCGGAAGCACTCTGAGGCAGCCCCCAGAATCTGCTTCACGCCTGTGACGGACGAACCTCCCTCCTTCAACTCTGTTATTTGCGTGCGGGCTTTTCTCGCTCGGACCCTGGCTGACAGGTACTTTGATGCGATTTCCCCAGTCATCTCTTCCGACAGTCCAACCTGCAGGTGCAACCTCTCCTTCCGCGCCATCCGGTACGTCTTTAATTGCGAATCTCTAGCCTCCAACAATGTACGTTTGACAGTGCACTCCGGATCCCCCATCCACTCCTGCTTCAGTCTTGCCACGTCATTAGCCAGACATAAAAGCGTTGCCTTAACAGTCTTGCTCTCTTCTCTTGCGTAGGAACGAAGACCGGCACCCAAGCAGGCAATGAGGAGTTCAAAGCTGCTTCCATCCTTGACCGGTGTTCGTCGATCCGTCGCGTCAATGATTTTCGCACTCCAGGTCTTTGCACCATCGACGCGTGAAGTCTCCAGATACCAGGCCCGGAGCAGACCCTTGCATCCAGATGGAAAGCCACCTTAATCGCGTAACCGTGATCCGAAATTGGGTCATCTGGCTTGTCATGAGAAGCAATGGCTTGGTGAGTTAGTAAGGATTGTGAAGCTAAAGCGCGGTCAATGCCAGTACTGCAGCGGTGCGAATGAGCATAAAAAGTGTATTCTCTCTTGCGCGGATGCAAAGTGCGGAAGGCGTCAGACAGTTGGAAGCTGTAGCACCGAAGCAACAGCTTATCATTCTCCGACGATGAACCCGAGCCGGAGGACTTGTCCAGCTTCGGATCATCAGTCAGGTTGAGATCACCGATCAGGAGAAGGTGAGAGGAGGGATGGATGCGGTCAATAGCTGGGCCGAGAACTTCATGAATGAAGTCTGCTCTTGGGGAAGGATGTGCAGGGAGGTATAGAGCGATGAGCGTGAGATCAAGGCCTGCTCCTTTAACTGTAGTGTGTATTAATCTACCTGACGGGTGTTTGACTGTGTCCTGAAAACTAATATCTTGGTTACTACTAAGGATGGCTACACCTCCAGCACTGTACTGTGGGGGGTTGTCTATAACTGTGTAAGTGTTAAGGGATGCCTAGTAAGGATGCATGCTAGGTAGTCTGGTATCAACTAGAACTATGACGTCTGCAGCTTTCTTTAACCAGTTTGAAACTCTGTCCTGTCCTGTTTTGTCTTATCACCTAAATATCAAATCATATATGTTGTATTTGTGTAGGCTGTAGTGGGGTAGCCAATATGGGGCACAACCCCTCTAGGGTTTGATACTTGTACCCAACTCTCTTTCAATGCATTCATTCCAGCCTGTAGTTTCTAACATGGTTTCAGAGCAGTAGGTCCGTAGGACCGTTTTTTTCGGGCCCACCTACCGTTGTGGTTACTGAGCTGCCCCACGTGTTGCCTGCGCCGCGCTGTGCGCGCGCGCCTTGCCTTGCCTGCGCCTTGCCTTGCCTTGCATGCACTGCGCCGCCCGCGCGCGCCTTGCCTTGCCTGCGCTGCGCTGCCCGCGCGCGCCTTGCCTTGCCTGCGCCCTGCCTATCCTTGCCTGCACTGTGCCGCGCGCGTGCGCCTTGCCTTGCCTGCGCTGCGCAGGCTGCGCATGCCCTGCCTTGCCTGCGCTGCGCTGCCCGCGCGCGCAAACCCTAATTCTGCGCACAGCACGCTGCTGCCCCGCGCGTCGCGTCCGCCGCCTGCGCAGCCTGCGGCTGCCCCGCACGCCGCGTCAGCAGCTCGCACAGCCCGCAGCAGCCCCGCGCGCCGCAGCTGCCGCCCTCGCGCAGCCCGCGGCTGCCTCGCGCGCCGTGTCCGCAGCCCGCGGCTGCCCCGCGCGCCGCGTCAGCAGCTCGCGCAGCCCGCAGCGGCCCCGCGCGCCGTGGCTGCCGCCCTCGCGCAGCCCGCGGCTGCCCCGCGCGCCGCGTCCGCCGCCTTCGCGCGGCCCGGCGCTGCCCCGCGCGCCGCCTCAGCCGCTCGCGCAGCCCGCGGCTGCCCCGCGCGCAGCCTCAACCGCCCGCGCGCCGCTACAGCAGCCTGTGCGCGCCCAGCAGCTGCCCTGCGCTTGCGCCCTGCCCTACCTCCTGCAGCATGCCGTCTTATTCTGGCGGACCGTCGCCTTTTCTTGCCCGTGCGCCGCCCCTGCCTACCCTAGTACCCACTATGACTTCTCTTCGCGGTACCGGCAGTGGGAGTGGTGACGGAGGTGGAGACAGCAGTGGGAGCGGTGGCGGTCGTCGTAGCAGTCACGGTGCAGCTCCTCCATTGGGAGTTTCTGGAGGTGGCCTAGTGCAGCTGCAGCGGCGTCCGCGTGAGCCCCTTACACCCCAGGAGCTTCGGGAATGGTACGCTCAGCGTTGTGTGTCTCAGCGTAGTGGCCGTAGTGGCAGTCGCGGTGCAGCTCCTCCGTTGGGAGTTTCTGGAAGGGGCCTAGTGCAGCTGCAGCGGCGTCCGCGTGAGCCCCTTACACCCCAGCAGCTTCGTGAGTGGTACGCTCAGCGTTGTGCGTCTCAGCGTAGTGGCCGTAGTGGCAGTCGCGGTGCAGCTCCTCCGTTGGGAGTTTCTGGAGGTGGCCTAGTGCAGCTGCAGCGGCGTCCGCGTGAGCCCCTTACACCCCAGCAGCTTCGTGAGTGGTACGCTCAGCGTTGTGCGTCTCAGCATAGTGGCCGTAGTGGCAGTCGCGGTGCAGCTCCTCCGTTGGGAGTTTCTGGAGGTGGCCTAGTGCAGCTGCAGCGGCGTCCGCGTGAGCCCCTTACACCCCAGCATCTTCGTAAGTGGTACGCTCAGCGTTGTGCGTCTCAGCGTAGTGGCCGTAGTGGCAGTCGCGGTGCAGCTCCTCCGTTGGGAGTTTCTGGAGGTGGCCTAGTGCAGCTGCAGCGGCGTCCACGTGCGCCCCTTACACCTCAGGAGCTTCGTGAGTGGTTTGCTCAGCGTTGGGCGTCACTGCGTCGTGCTCAGAGTAACAGTTACCTGTGTGTGCCGCCAGACCCAGGTATAGAGGTTCCTGCTCTCGCTACTAGTGAGACTACCGCTCTCGGTGCTAGTGAGTCTGTTCTCTCAGGTGCTAGTGAGTCTGCTCCCTCAGGAGCCAGTGAGTCTGCTCTCTCAGGTACTGCGCCTACTGCAGCCTTGCACACGTTCACCCTTGACTCTGGGGCTTCCCGCTGTTTCTTTCGCGACAGTACCACACTCACACCACTCCCTGCACCTGTCCCTGTCTCACTGGCTGACCCCTCTGGGGGCCCAGTGCTTGCACGAGCCACGACTATGCTACCGTGCCCGGCGGTCCCGTCTGGTGAGCTGTCAGGTCTCCACATCCCCTCGTTCTCTACGAACCTGGTGAGCAACGCCGTCCTTCAGGATCACTGGGTTGACACCTGGACTCCTGGAGGACAGCGTGTGGCGATCCTCACGTGCTCCAAGACTGGCCGCCACCTAGCCACGTTCACCCGTGAGCCAGGGTCCAGTCTGTACACCCTCACCACTGTTTCATGCCACACCCCTCTGTCTCCCCAGCTGTACGCGTCTGCTCAGGTAGCTACCCAGTGTGAGTGTCGCCGCCTGTCGCACGACACTCTCCTGTGGCACCATCGCCTTGGTCACCCCTCCCTGCCTCGCCTTCGTGGCATGCACTCTCGCTTCCTGGTCTCTGGTCTTCCCAGGTCTCTGCCTGCCCTTCCTCCCTCGCCTGCACCGCCCTGCATTCCTTGCGTCGAGGGGCGCGCCGATCCTCACTCCTCCTCGTTCCCTCCCACAGAGGCTCCACTGCAGACTCTCCACCTGGACGTGTGGGGCCCCGCCCGCGTCCAGGGGCAGGGCCGCGAGCGGTACTTCCTGCTGGTCGTCGACGACTACACGCGCTACACCACGGTCTTCCCCTTGCAGCGCAAGGGTCAGGTCCCTGATGTTCTGATCCCCTGGATCCGTGCTGTTCGTCTCCAGCTCCGCGAGCGGTTCCACTCGGACTTTCCTGTCCTGCGTCTGCACTCTGACAGAGGTGGTGAGTTCTCCTCTGACCTCTTGCGAGCCTTCTGTGAGGAGCACGGCATCCGCCAGTCGTTCACGCTTCCGGCCTCTCCGCAGCAGAATGGGGTTGCTGAGCGCCGCATTGGCTTAGTCATGGAGGTCGCTCGTACCTCCATGATCCATGCGGCTGCCCCCCATTTTCTGTGGCCGTTTGCGGTCCGGTACGCCGCGCATCAGCTCAACCTCTGGCCCCGTGTCTCCTTGCCGGAGACCTCGCCCACACTGCTGTGGACGGGGGAGGTTGGCGATGCGTCGCGTTTCTGGGTCTGGGGTGCTCGTGCCTTTGTCCGCGATCTCACCGCGGACAAGCTCTCTGCTCGCGCCATTCCCTGTGTCTTCCTTGGCTTTCCTCCTGACGCGCCTGGCTGGCAGTTTTACGACCCCGCCTCGCGCCGTGTCTTTGCGTCTCAGGACGTCACCTTCGACGAGTCGGTCCCCTTTTACCGTCTCTTTCCCTACCGCACTTGCCCTCCCCCCCCCCCCCCCCCCCGCTTTTTCTCGCTCCAGGTCCTCCCCAGGTAGACCCCCTCCCCCCTCCAGGTCCTGCTCCTTCAGGTGTGTCTCAGGTAGACCCTCCCTTGACTGAGCCTGTTGAGGTCACTGGTGACTCAGGTCCTACTGGGGGTGGTCCTGCTCGTGGGGGGTACTGAGCCTGAGCGTGCAGAGCCTGGGGGTGCTGAGCCTGAGCGTGCGGAGCCTGGGGGTGCTGAGCCTGGGGGTGCAGAGCCTGAGCGTGAGGAGCCTGGGAGTGCTGAGCCTGAGCGTGAGGAGACTGGAGGTACTACGTCTGGGGGTGCTGAGCCTGAGCGTGAGGAGCCTGGAGGTACTACGTCTGGGGGTGCTGAGCCTGCGAGTGAGGAGTCTGGGGGTGCGGCGCCTGAGGGTACTGAGACTGCTGGTGCGCGGTCTCCTTGGAGTGGCCGCCTTCGTCCGCGTGTGCCTCTCACCTCACAGCAGCTGCACGACTGGTACGGTCGCCGTCAGGGTCGCGCTGCAAGAGTTCGGAGCTCTGCCGCTGGAGGTGCGTCTGTTGACGCTGCTGGAGCTGGGAGTGGTACTGGTCCTTTGTCTACTGGAGGTGCTGGAGTCGCTGGTCCCGGAGGTGCTCGTCCTGGAGGTACTGGAGATGTTGGGCCTGGAGGTGCTGTGTCTGGGGGTGCTGCTGCTG